AAAAGTTCCCTGTTGATCTGCTCCCTCGAGTTAGAGCATATCTGCATATCTGGTGAACATATGGGGATTATATACATTTCATCTGCGCAACTGTCCTAATGCGAACTGGGAGCAGCTACTGTCTTTTCCCTGAGAAAGAAAACTCATTTGATCCAATTTTCCATCATGATAAAATAGAGAACAAAATGTCTCAACTCTTACAAACTCGCATAGTATGGTTAGGTCCGCAAACCTGGCTTATTTGTAGTTTGTATATTCCAAATACCAACGTGGCACAAATGGCTGTTAGCACCGAGATTAGTGCTTGCCTTCGTAGTGTAATGGGAAATATCAATTAATAAATCAACGCACAATACATTCTACTTACTTCCGAAGATAGGCTTGTTCTGAGAAAGAAACGATGCACTAGACGCAGGCGTTGTGTTGAATACTGAACCGGTGACAGGGGCGGCAGACGAAGTGGCGAACGAAAGACCGCCGGTTTGCATCGTTGAACCTTTTCTATTGGCCAGGTAGTCTTCGACTCGCAGTTCCTTTAAAAAACTCATAAGAGAGGTAACTACACGAGCAGGAGGAACTTTGTGAACAAACCTCAACACTTTTTCCCTCATACTGTTTCATTGCCGAGATGCATTGATGCTTTGTGCTCGTGTTGGACGAGATTCCGTTTCTGACAATCGAATCATTCCCGATCAGAGGCTCAAACTTAACGGTCGTTCCGCTTCCAATCCCTCCGCCAAACAAACCAGTAGCGGTACTCGTCGGGGTGCTAAACAGCGAGGTGCTTGATGTGGGGGTGGCTTGACCGAAGAGGGATGTTCCCGTGGCGGGTGCTGAACCGAAAGCTTAGATAAAATGTTATTATCGTCTAGGTACAAGCTAAATACATGATCATGAATAGTAAAATCTAATACACAGAATAAAAACAGAAAAAGACAAACTGACACACACGCACAATAACAATATGCAGCAGCAGTACATTCCAACAACGGTATCCTTCAAGATCTAGCTCAGAATAAACACGTCATTCAAGTGACCAGTTGCACTGTGTAGCTTAGCCTGATAGGAGTAATAGTTATATAAGAAGTCATTAATACCTAACATGTTTTGAGCCCTACAATTCTTGACTGGCTATCGCATTTAAGTCTTGTAATAACAGTAATTTATGCACCAGGCTATACCACTGAGCCAAGAAGAAGTTCAATATACTCAGCGATTTACCTAACAGAGTAGGAACAGGTGGAAGACATCGTTCAATAAGCGCTCACTGCATATGCATTCTTGGATTTAGTTACAAACCACAACGGAGATTGCTACCCAGACATCTGTCTTTTACCCATAACTTTACAAAGCTGTAGGAAGAATGAAAATGCCGGTAAAAAAAGAATGAAAATGAACGTTACAACCCTGAAAGTAACGGTCTTCCCCAGTTTTACTGCACGGCTTTTAAACAACCGCAATGCCAAGGATCAAAATTAACTTCAATGGGTCCAGCCGAGTCATCTGCGCGACATTCTTAATGCCTGATGATATCAACGAAAGGTCACATATAGTCACGTAATCGACGGAATGAAGACGCTCTTTGAAAGACTAAACGAGAACACGTCTGGTGGTACATAAAATGGCTCAAAAGACAGAAGACGAAAGAAAAACATTCCTCCTATGGAAGTCGGCAATGAGACCAGTGAGAGCAAAAGGTGGCAAAATCTGCATGATCTGTTTATACAGAGTATGACCTGTGTTAAAACAGTCAATGCCAAAGGCATTAAAAGAATCACCTCTTACGTGTCAGACATCATTAATATATACGGAAAGCGGGACTGCTAAACTTACTGCACCTCAAATAACGATGAAAGTGTACAGCCTAAGTTTCTGCCATATAATGGATCAGTAATCAACACCTCAATACCGCGGTAGAGAGAAAGTGTGCGTCACAGATGAAAAAATTAAGAAAAGGTCGTGGGCCATGTTACATAAACTGAATGAGCATACCTCAATTACTTCATCCTATGAATTCATTGTGTGGGAATCGACGCAACACAGACGTCAGCCAGAAAACCACGATGCAAAATGGTGGAACAAAGTAGTGGCAGATCTGTGTCAGAGAAGAGCTGTTACCTCGACAGTGCAGTAACTGATGTCTTATAACAAATGTTAAATAGCTACGGATACAGCGTACACCAGAAACCAGAGATGTTCTGCTTATACAAACGACTCAAAGTGATGAGCCTAAGTGCAAGTCCTTAATTTGGTTGTATTTAGTCTTGCATGAAGAAGGGTCGAAGTTTAGAAACATTAGAGAAACATCTGTAAAATACACAAGGCCAACGCCCTGTCATAGCAGTGATTGGAAATATCCACAATACACAGTGTCCCCTTACGTGGGTAACAATGCTCGTTGCTTTTCATTCATCTGACTGTGCGATTCCAACTTAAAGTTATACAGCTCCATTTTAGCGCGAAGCGATAGTTCAGAAAACATCAAGGTTGGAATCATTAATACATTAACGAGTTGTCTATAAGCTTCACAGCCATGCTTAAAAAAGTTTATGGTAAAAGTTCAACTTACGATAGTAAAAGTAACGACCATCTCTAAACTTTGCCTAACGACTAATCGATGCTTCGCTGGGGCCAATTCTGAATATGCCATCTTTCATCTCCGAAAGAGCAACCGTTCGGCTTTACAAGGTCAGCCTCGCCATGTTCAACTGCATGCAAATACCTTGCTCGGTAAGGATCAGTTGTGGATTAGGGTGTCATCACGATAGGGCTTATCTTGTCTAACACAGATAGACGGAATAAACATCTTTCCTGAATTATAAAGGGAATTCGTAAAACGCTTTTTAACTGCGAAAGAAGTGTGGCCTGGATGAAATTTGAGGTTAGAAGCTACGATTCGTCTACTAACTGGACATACGAGGCTAAAAGACTGTGCCGCGCAAGTCATGCGCGAACAAAGGCAACCTATTGTAATTGTCATCATTGAAACTTGAACAACGCAGTAATGCAGATTTGAGCATCTCATCGCTTAAAATAGTATCAGGCCACTTAAAATGCGTCGGCAATTAGTAGTTATTAAGCAACCACCATTTCATAACTAAAACACTGAAATGCGTGATGTGAGCATCTATAGGTCAAATAAATGTACTGCATGCTGCAACGGGAAGATACTGAATGGTGATGGCTGGACAACTTTGCTCAGGTGAGAGGATCTCATATCTATGTTCTTCGTCCGGTGGTCCAAATATAGTCGATAAATCTGTTCGAGCAGTTACAACGAACAGAAATGAGGACTGTTGGTAGGGCAAAGTTCTATGAGGTTCATAACACGCAATCCGAAACACCCTTGAATATGCGCCATTTCCTCTCATACTGAAGATCACAAACGCGATGATTTGAGCATGTGATAAGGATATTAAAAAAGATACTCCACAGTTGCGTTCTGTTGGCAAGGTCAAAAGGAAAACAGTTCAACAGCATACTGTGGACAAGTCGGTTTCTTAAAAAGCCTCAAGTTGCCTCCCTTGAAATCTCCGCCGATTACCCATTCAGGAGACGACCGGAACTACTGGAAATTCTAAAGCAGCTACTCACACCAACCCAAAGGAATATCGGACATTGAAACCGAATCAGTTAACGAAGCTGTATGCAGTACCAGTGCCGCCAAAGCTTGTCTGAGTCGGGCTGCCAAACAAGGACTTTGTAGTGCCGCTTCCAAACAGGCTGGTATTTTGGCCGAACGACGGCGCATCTGAGAAACGAGAAAAAAATATACTGACACTGCAAGTAACAAAATATATCAAGACAGTACTTGATGATGCTCCGAACGGGGTGACGCCAGCTGTCGACGTGCCGCCGAATATACTTGAAGATGTGGATGAGGTAGGCTGGCCGAAAATGCTACTGGGTTGTGTCACGTTGGAGC